AATACTTAGCATTAACTGTTTAGTATAAGCTAAATGATGATTTGATTAATCTTGATGAATTTAACTTTCCTAATTGTAAGATTGAATATAAATTCTAGTGAACTTAATATTCTAAATTCTGAGTCTTCTCGTATTTTACCAATGCACACTTTGTTGCTTTTTAAGCGGCCATTTTATTTCGTAATTTAAAGTTTAAAACTAAAAATTTTGCGGATTTTTCTGTTAACAATGATTATTTATTTCTAAAAAATAGACATTTTTTCAAGGCAAATTTTTTAATTTGTAAGCATCCATACACCTACCCTAGGGTCATGTAAATTGCCACAAAAAAATTGGGCCTGATAGTTTTAGCCGTTTTCACGTTAATTGGAAAAATTTGCATATATATATTTGTATCTATAGTTTTTTTTTTAATATCGATTTTGATGGTTTTTATATCGTTTATAATAAAGGGGGTCAACCCAGACAGATATATTTTCAAAAACTGATGCATATCTGAGTGCCCCATCAAAATTTGAGGCAAACCGGTCACGGTGTTTGAGATGTGATCGGACATGGAAAACATTATAGATTACTACTTTATATATACAATACCTCAAATTCTTGAGAAGCCTCTTTTAAAAAAACTTTAAATGTTATTAAACAGACAAGATGCCCTGCCCATCCAGGGGTGTATATTTTCTCAAAAAAAATTAAAAATAATTTATTGTCCCCAAAAGTTATGTATATCTTAGGGTTTAATTTGATAAAATTTTGGAATCATCTTTTAGAATATAAACCCCGGAGTCTATCCCTACCATGAACTTGTGAAGATCGACCTGAAAGATTTGCTTTGCGACGTCAAAACTGTATGTCGGAAAAATCATGGAACATTAAAGTTAATAAAAAACATCCTAGTTATATATCTCCAAAACAGCAATATATGCGGATTAATAACACTGAAAAAAAAATAAAAAGACCTGAAAGATTTAAGTTCCTTCTCCTGTTCATATCTCATCTTTTTAGAACTTAATCTAAGATCCTCATGCTGCTGCTGTTCACATTTATCCACCTTAACAAATAATGAAAATAAATTAGATTAAAGCAGTGCTTGGGATCCAGATCCGTTGGATCCAAGGGACAAAATATCAACCAAAAACTGCAAAAAAAAATACTCTCAAACCCCAAATCTGAACTATTGAAAAAAGAGAGATTATAAAAATTTCCTGATTTCTGAATGGTTCATCAAGTTTTAGCGTATAAATAAGCGAAAAAAATATGACAAAAAATTTAAAAGTTCTGTTTTGTTAAAAGAAATTCAGTTTTTATGGAAATCACCTGGATCCGGATCCATTTTTTCCAGAGCGGATCCAGGATCCGGATTTCGGATCCGGATCCACATCAAAATTAAATGGATCCTAAGCACTGATATAAAGAGTAGCATCCCCTATTCACCCCTTAATCTTAAACTTTTTACTCAGACATTGTTTTGATATGGTAACGATGTGAATGAGGCATGCCGCTCATTAATTGAAATTACACCCTCTAAGCATCCATTAAAATGTCTTCGTCTTCCTTTCTTATTTTTTTTTTAGAAATCCATGAACCGCAATTTGTCTGTAGATAATATGGATATTATATCCATCAATGAAAAAGACGAATAATTTAGATAATTATTTCTCAGGACTTTAAAATTTAAAATGAAAGGCCGAAGGATCACTTTTATCACGTTGACTGACCATCCTTAAAAATTTAATATACACCCCTAAATTTAATTTACTTTAAACAGACCAGAACATTTTGATTGATGTTTAAAAGAGATGACCAGCAATAAGACAAAAAAAAAACATCTACCAGAAGATACGCAAAAGACCAAATCTACTAGAAAGACACAAAAAAATGTACCAGAATGACCCAAAAAATGTACCAGAGGGACAAAAAAAACCAGATCTACGAGACAGGCTTAAAAAGACCAGATCAACAGAAAGACAAAAAAACAAATCTACCAGAAAGACGCAAAAAAATCTTCCAGAAAAAAGCAAAAAAATCTACCAGAAAGACATAAAAGTCATGATCAACTGGTCACACACAAAAAAAGAAGATATCTACCAGAAACCAAAAAGACCAGAAGTGCATAATGACAGACCAGACTATTATAAATCAGAGGAACCACAATTACCGTTTCTCCTGTTGTTCCTTGAATGTCTGGTTTTTGAAAGCTAGATCTTGGAACTGTTTCTGCTCCTGTTTCTGAAGCAGCTTGAGCTCTCTCAACTCCTGTTTCCGGAAATACTGCTCGTCATAGAACGTTTCCGATTCCTCGTCCCTTAACAACAAAATTTTATAAAAAGTTAAATAACAATCCAATCCCTTCCAATCCAATCCAATCCAATCCAATCCAATCCAATCCAATCCAATCCCGATCTAATCCCGATCCAATCCCGATCCAATCCCGATCCAATCCCGATCCGATCCAATCCAACCCAATCCAATCAAATCAATCAAATCAAACTTTAATCCACAAAATCAATGCTCCCTTGATTATCACAGCTAAAACAATGCCTTATAGCTATCAGCTGTTGGACATTTTTGTTGTTGTTTGTTTTTGATTGTAAAAAATTTAAATCTCAGTTGATATCCATTATTTCGGAAACTTATTTTGCATGCCAAATAAGACACAACAAACAATTGACAACACGGAAGCAATGAAAAAAATAAACTCTCCCTGTACACGAAAGCAATAGACAGTGCTTTAGATCCATTTTATTTTAATGCAAATCCGGATCTTATAAACACCCTTTTAAAAAAATGGATCCGGATCCAGGTCATGAATATTTTCTTAAAATTTACTGATTTTTGTGTTGTTAGAGCAAAAAATAAATTTTTAGCAGGTTTTAGCTGGCATTTTGGCTTTTGAATCCGCATATTTCAGCGGATCTAACGGATGTTGCGGATCCAAAGCACTGCTTATAATGTGAGCACTGACCTGTAAATAATTTTACTGGTTGTTGTGGTGACTGTAACGCCGTCAATTTCAAACTTTCTAGTTCTCTTCCTCGTTTTCTTCTTCAAGTTCATCTTCTGGATATCTTCCTTCGTCATTGGACGTTTTCTCTCAACGGCCGCCCCAACCTCGTAGTTCTCCTCAATCTCCTACATCATAAATATCGTTGTTTAAGAAATTAAAGGATCTGTACGTTTGATTTTAAATGACCCTCCGTACAAAGTTGGTCATTTCCGATTCACAACAGTACCCTTGAAACCTTTAACTGATCAAAAATGTGGAAGATATTGTCGTTTTTCTTGGTTTAAATGTGTTATTTTTTGATAATTCCAATGTGTTTTTCTGCAGTACAAATGCGCTAGTCCCTTTTGTAGAGAAACCATGATAGAAAATAATATGTTTTTACAATTATAATCATGCATATATAATTTTTACTCGATTAGAGAAAGCTTTTTAAGGGCACCATTGAAAATACATATTTACATATTTACATGAAGGATCATTTATTATTACATTTACAGTCCCTTTATAAACTTAAAAGTTCTCAAACTCAGACAAGTATAGGGAAATGAGGTTGCTTTTTAAAGTAGACTTTGTACTCCTTTATTTTTATAATAAATTACCAGAACAACGTGAACACCCGGAGGGTGGGGGGACTTCGGGGGAGGGGTCTATAAGTAAAAACTTGTAAAACTTGTTGACCATTTTCAACTACTTTTTTTTTCAAAAATTTTATACATTTTTTCAAAAGCCAGTTAATTTTCCCAATGGTTTAATTCTAAAAATTTTGTTTATTCTGCGCGAAAAACGTTCTTTCTAGAATATTTGGGGAAAATCGCAAATTTTAAATTATGAAAAAAATCGTGACAAAAATAGATGATAAATCGATTAAAGGAACTGTAAGCGTAATTGCAAGTGACCATAGATGCAAATATTAAACGAGTTTAAACGTTACACCAACATTAATTTGATAATAAATATTAACGATAAAGTTCTTTTTCTAACTTAAAAAATGTTTATATCTGAGAATTTCCAGAGTTTTTTTCTAAAAAGCAAGTCATTTTTTGCAGATAAACCACAAATAAGAACCGATAGTTTTAATTAACAAATCATGCATCGTAAAATCAGTTTTGAAAGTAGCGTTGTAAATTGGGCAAATTGCCATCTTTGCATTGAGGGTCACTTGAAATTACGCTTACAGTGCCTTTAAATGGTTACTATCATGTTTAGTTCTATAGTATCATGCTCTTGAGATTTCATGCAGATGATATATAAATTAATCAAAAACCAATATAGACAGAATAACGTCACGGAGTCACGGATAATGAAGAAAATATATTATATTTATCTCCCCCCTCCCCTCTCCCCTCACATTTGAATGTGTTTACGCGGCGCACATTTTTTTATGGTTTTATTTCGCCTAATTATGAAAAGTGAATGATTTTAAGGGGAAATTAATAAATTTTGGGTAAAAATTATCAAAAAGAATAAAGAATATGCGCCCCTGGATCTATGCAAATTTTAAAAGAGCCCTAATTGTGACCTAATCATGCAACAAGTCTAAATTTTTGTTTGAATTATAATCACCACAAGCACAACACATCCTTAAAATATTCTGATGTACATTCAAGACAGGTCAGAGATCAAGCCAATTATTTACGCAAAAATACGCCGTGCATATTTTCCCGTCAATTTTTATACGCTAGAAGGTGCAGCAACATTTCCGACATTTCAGGGTTGAAATAAAACAATAAAATCATTCTTAAAGGGACTGTAAGCGTAATTTCAAGTGACCATTCATACAAAGATGGCAATGGTCACTGCTCAGTTGTATGAAGTACATATCAATGTTTTTGTTTCTTTATTTTAGGGCTCCTTGTCTAACACAGAAAAAAAGAAGGGAGGGTTAGAAAAAACTAAACTGTTAAATAATTCTCAGCTACTAACTATCTATACACTTAATACAAAATTGTATGAAAAGTTCAGGTTTAAAGAAAGAATGCATTTATGTCAGGAAAATCAGGAAAGGGGGGCGCACTTAATGCATAGAGTATACGTACTATACAGGCTATCCCAATAAACTTGGGAATTGAATGACGACTTCTATATCGGGATTATTTTGAAAACATAATTTTGTAGTGTCACAGTTAAAATATTTAATACCGAAAAGTACTAGTCTTTGGATTTCCAATGTGGTTTTACCATTTTTTGGAAAGCTCGTTAGACTTTCAATCGTTTTTGATGCACTTTATGTTAGTTTTCAATTTTTAGAAATCAAAGACGATATTCAAATCGTCTCTCAAATTCCATGTTTACTGGGACACCCTGTATGATATTTTTAAGAGGGGAGGAAAAGCAAATAATAAATAAGGGAAAAAATTAGTGCTTTCCTCTTGTTGTGCTCAAACATTCATTTGCTTGTCCCTAACCCATTTTCCCCAAATTCAGGGATACAATTCCCTTCACATAGTTAAGCATAGAGGGGTGGGGGGATTATAATATTGAATATTTACCGGGGCATCCTTCTCCTTCCGAAGATTTCTCCTGAGGACAACATCATCTTCATCTCCGTTTAAGGAGGCTGGGGTGAGGACGGAGGGCGGAGGTATTCCAGAGCTAGGGGTCATCACAGACGCTTCCGAGGTCGATCTTCCAGTTTTACGATGTGCTTCCTGCAACAAATTATTTTATTAAAAAAAATACCAGGGCTGTCAGCTTAAGTTGTTTTGCAAGTAAAAAATTAACGAGATAAATATATTTTTAATCCCTCCTTTTTTCTCAGAACAAATACGCGTAAAAATGTTAAAGAACAGAATCTCTCGATTAAATCGAACCTGAGGTCTAGAAACTGGAGTAGATTGTGAAGGTTTGGAGCTGGAGCTAGAATTAATCAAATCCGGAACCGGCCGTGCCGGCCGTTTCTCTTCTCTCGAACCTTTTCTGCTTTCGTCCGACACTTCGTCCCTTGATCCTCGACGGGATACCTTTCTTTCGTCAGTTTCGTCCCGAGATATATTTCTCGACTTAGAGCGGGAATCCTCTATCGGTCGATTCGACGAGGGTTTCCGGTCATCCCTGGTTTTCTCATGGGCTTCCTTCCTTGTTGGAGCAGGTTTAGGTTTCTTCTCCTCTCTATCCGCGCTCTTCCGTTCGAACCTCTCTCTACCCTCTCGAACCTCACGCGCAATTCTTCTCTCGCGGTCCAGTGAGCCCTCGCTGCCGCGTCGCTTCTCTGGCCGACGAATTACAGGAATAATCGGCTCTTCAGGCATCTCTTCCTCATCCTTAGAAATAAGATTATTAAACTAAATATCAAATAAATTCCTAAAAGATAGCGTATGTAAAAGTTCATATTTTAAAAATCTTGCATCAAAAAAAATTTAATTGGTCCGAAAATTGGAAAACCAAAAAATATGCGAGTTGTTAATTTAATTTTTCTAAAAGACTAGCTGGAATATCAGCAACAAAAAGGTAGAATTATTACCAGAAAAATGGTCGCAAAGAGCCATTTAAACATAAAAATTGACTGGACTAACCTCCGTAGAAATATGTCCAGCCAATCCACTGTCTTCTGATTCCACTTTGGATTCAGATTTAGGAGAGAGAATTTCAGGAGATCGGACATCTTTAGTCTGGATGTCTGTAGTCTGGATGTTGAGGGATAGATCTGTACTTGATGCGTCCACAGTAGTTCCGTCCAACTTGAAGCTGATTGCAGATACACGACCTTCTCCCTAGATTAAATTAGATTAAAGGGGGTGCTGATGATATTTTACGTGACCCGCAGGGGTGTATATTTGCTCAAACAATCATTCCACCAGACCCCTCTTCTAAAAATCATTGCACCCCCATATTTACATGAAGG